AAGTCTGCTTCTCAGAGAGTACAGAAGATGATGAGAAGTGTATTAGTGATCAGCTTGTAAATCCTCTCTCTTCTCTCTTGGCCACCTCTGTCCTCTCCTCCTAGAAATCTCTTTTAAGGTACCTCTTTGTGCATTACTTCCCCACCGTAGGCTTGCTTGGTAGCTTTTGCTTGATTTCACCTAAATACAAAATGTAGGAGTGGTTGTGGGTCTTCTGTAACATTCTCCCTGCTCCTCTTCCCTCATTCTTAGTAGGATATCTGAGTTAATGCCCTTGGGAAGAGAACCTGATCAGTTTGAAGGGCCTCTTTAACTGTACATTTTCTTTTTCTTCCTCTTCCCAGGAACATCAATTTATAAGCCAGAGTCTGTGTTCATCTCTTTACCATCCAGGCAGTTATTGATCTGTTCAAGGCCTAGTAAACATTGCAAAATGTGACAACAAAGAAGCAAGTTTCAATGCTGAGAGCTTTTGAATTAAAGTGGAAATGAGACACAAACAATCTACCTAAATATTTTTAGTTCACTCTAACTTTAAAAAAACCATGTCCTCAATTTTCTGCTCCTACTCCTTGCAAGGTCTTCTCATAACTCTGAAGATTAGAAAGCCTGCACCTTTTGGCTGCCTCTGCTCAGTGCTTTGGATATGGATGAAATCCATGTCTTTATGCTCAGGCTTATTCTTTTCACAGGAAGCATTTGATTTGATGAGTAATGTACCCATAATCTTGCAAGGAGGAACCTATTTCAAAGGACACCAAGATGTAAAAGTTAATATAATTTTCCTTTTAAAAAGGTGCATTTGTGAAACCAAGTTCAAAGTCTTGAGATTTGTGTTTCTTTGCTATGATTATGTATAACATTTCGATGTTTACCTTGATTTTCACTTCTCTGGCTCACTGTGTCCATTTATTTTGCTTAACTGGTAGGAGAGGCAAAGGCTTTTATTCTTACCTTCTGTTAGCATTCAAATGGGAATATGCTGGCTTCTGAGCAGTCTATAAGAAAATTACTAGTAGCAATGTAGGAATGGGAAATCACATCTAAATCTTTGTGGGCTGGCCTCCAAGCCATTTTTGGTTGTTTTGTTTTTATAGCATATATTTGTTCTTACTACAAAAGCAATACATATTAATTACAGGAAATTTAGACACTAGCTATCAGCCATAAGACCAAAATTGAAGTCCTCCTACCGAGAGATAACCATTTATTTTTCTGTATCTATTTCTGTATCTGAAACAGATCGAACCATACAGAATGTAGTTTTTGTAAGTCAAAAGTTGTTTGATAATGGCAATTTCACACACACAATATACTTTTTATTTTGTAACTTCCAACTAGAATTTTAGCAAAGATAAGAATGTATAATTTTGTTTGAATTGGGGATTCTGGTGCTCTGAACAGCTCAGAGTGCACCAAACTCAGGGGAGTAGGATTGGAAAGGAGAAAGG